GTTCGATTAATTATCCACCCCAAGTAGTAGAGGGTAGATAAGGCACAAACCAATATACTCGTCATCATATGAATTCCTCTCATGAGATTATCTCTGATTAAACATGTCCATGAATTTATAATGGGGGACGCCCTGAAGTTTAAATGATTTCAGAGAATTAAAATCTCAATGTTAATGAGAGTGTGTATGAGTCGAATGATAGACCTTACACTTATACTGATGATATATTTATACAGTTGCTCAAAGGAGCATAGAGCATGATGATATCGAACCATACTCTATTGCAATATGAAAGCAATGAGAATATTGACCTAAATACGTACAAGTAATCCAGTTATAAATTTAATATTTGACAAAGAGACAGGTATTTGGTATGATAGTGCTAATCAACCAAGTGTAAAGCCTGTAGGACATGAAATATTTCTTTGTTAGAAAGCGTACTAAGATAATGAGGTCCTAATTATTCTAACAACGCCCTGGATTCAAATATGAAAAGTTATACCTCTCTATTTTGACCACAAAAATGTTCAACTACTTAATCTATAAGTAGACTCCAAAGTAATGGAGACGCAGCTAAAGATTGTGGACATTAAATGTCCTAATAGAATTTCATTAAATAGATGTATATGAAGTATTTGTTATGTTTTTATTATCTTTAATCAAGTGGTTTTAAATTACATTGTATATTTACATTGAAACGTTCACATTTGGATTAAATTAATCTAGACGAGAGTGACATACCCGTCTAAGTGACCACTTGACTGAAAAGGGATAGAAAAGATAGATTATGTTTTCCCTCCAAGTACCATTATATGTCAAAGATATAGACATAGTATGTACTCATATTAAAGAAAATGAGAAATCTTAGATACTTGGAAGTCATAATTGAGATAAAGGATCTTGGGAAACTCAAGTTGTTTTGAAAACACCAAGTTGGTTGAATAATAATTCACCAGTTGCATATATCCAAAAGGGTTCTCATGCAAATTAACATGGATAAATGTAAACTGTTAGCACTCCCATGATCGGTCGAAATATGGATGCTAGAAAATATATACATTATTGGAAAATTATTGGGAGAAGGAATTTCATATGAAAGTGCAATATGCGCATGCTTGTACTTTGGCAAACACATTCGACCAAATATTACATTCTCAATAACGTGTTAGCTAAAAATAGCTCAGGACCAACACAACATATATCGTCATTGGAATAATATCAAGAATGTACTTTGATATCTATGTCAAACCATTGGTGTAATCTTTAGTCATCCCTTTTATAAATTAATTAAATGATTGATGATAATAATATTTCTAAAGGAATCGGAAATGTCAAAAGTATCACTCTAACACAAAGTAACGTGATTTGAGTTTTACCGATGATGGATATCCCCTTACCTCATTGATACTTTCTTAAATGAGTATATATCTACCATGAAAGAAACCAAGATGTTATATACGGAATACCTTGATAAAACTATATATCAAGTACATATCGAATTCTTATTGATGTGTTGCATTAAGGGGGAGTCCTTACATACTTATTTATCATCAGTTATATTGGTGCGTTGTACTCTTTTTCTTTTCTCCCTTTTGACCAATGTTTATTTTTTCCCATTGGGTTTTGTTACTTGGTAAAGTTTTTTTTATGAGACAACACAATATGCACCATCCAACATTTTAATTTTGCGAAAGTAAACAATGTTGAAGAAAGAGCATAATTACTATATCGCAGTCAAAAGTAATTGACGTGTAGGTTTTAGTGCACCATACTCCCTTTTCACTTTGACCGATGTTTATTTTTCCCATTGGGTTTTGTTCATTGGCAACGTTTTTGCAAGTTAATTTGGGAAAATTCCCTACGCTTGACACACAGGGAGAGAATTAAAGGAATTATTACGTTTTCGCTAAGGTAATTGATGTGACAAGTATTGAAATGCACATATTTTACTAACACCCTTGATCAATGTAAATATTAAGGGTAGATGTAGACTTGAGGGGGAGTACCCCGACTAGATTACATTACACTCTTTTCCTTTAATCAAGTTTTATTTTTTCCCACCGGATTTTGTTACTTGGTAAGGTTTTTAATGAGGTAACAATACATATAAACTTTAATGATCAAAGCAAAGATCAAATAAAGATAGACTTAATGAAAGAAGTCTATCTTGATGTTATACTCCTTTTTCTCTAGTCAAGATTATTTTTTCCCACAGGGTTTTTGTTACTTGACAGAGTTTTGACGAGGCAATAAGACTGATACCAAATTCTATCTACAACTCAGCACAAGGGGGAGTGTTGAAGGAAATTCTGTGTAGTGTGCTATCATGTATATAGAATATGTATTAGGATCATTCTATGTAAACTATCTATTATATGGACCCATTGGCCCATCTATGTAAACCTTAATATCTCTCTATTTATAGGGTCTTTGATAATGAAACTATACACCCAATTCTCCCTACAACAACTATTTAATTTTAATGATATGCCATCCATTGATTTTACTCTCCAACTTTAGATTGACAAAAATATGACAATTTTTAAATTGAACAAAAAAATGACCACATTTAAACACCTAAACCTAATGTAGCAGGCTTCTCTTATTTTCTTCGCATCTTCTCTATGCACTCCTCCGATTTTCTTCAATTGAGCTTCTCTCCATCAGGGAGCGCTCCTTCGCCTCACCTACGTCGGCCACCAGGGACGCTGCCTCCGCCTCGCCCCCGACGGCTTCTTCTCGTCTACATCGTTGTTGCAATTCCGTCACCGCCGCCTGTTTGGGGATAGGGCGAGTGACCTTCTTCACTGTGAATCGTTTTCGTCGCAGATCTAGTAGTTGTTGGGGCTGCTGGAGCTTGGGTGAGTCACAAGGCGGTGGTTGTTGGGGGAGGTTGCGAGTCGCAGAGAGGTCAGGGCGAGTTGGAGAGGGCTGGCGGCACTGAAGAGTAGGTGGTTGCGGGGCTAGGCGGGACTGGGTCGCTGGGGCAAATAGGCTGGGGATGGGGGATGGGAAGTTGTGGGGGGCGGGGGAGCAGGGGAAGGGGGTTGGGGTGCAAGGGAGGGGGCTGTGGTGCAGGGGAGGGGGCTGATGGAGCAGTGATAAGGGCTGGGGTAAGGGTGGTAGGTGGTGTCACGCGATGGCGGTGGTGTCAAGGTGACAGGGTGATGGTTTTCGACAAAAATTTTGATGTGGAAAGTCGTCAGAAAACTTCCTAACGACAGAGTGACACATTTTCTACAGTGACATCTGAAAATCTGAAAATGACGTGAAAACAGATAGACATTTGTGACATAAAAATCTTATAGTGACATAAAACAGTGACATAAAAATCCGACAATAACATCAAAAATGACCGTGACATCATGTTTTCAGATTAATTTTTGTTTAAACTTTAGTTTAATTTTTGTCTTTTTACAAAAATGGTCACTTTTTTTAAAATTAACTTTAGTAGTAATATTTAAGAAAAATTGACTTGCGTCTTCACTTTCTTTCATGCTCATTTAATCCTCCTGTCATATGGAAGGTGTCATCATGACGTTCCATGCTTTTTTTTTTGGAAGAAGCTCCCATAGTCCCATGCAGTATTAAAAAAATTGTTCTTACTTCCATCCATTTCCTTTAATGAAGGTAAAATAATTTTTAATTTGCATTTAGACAAAATTATAGATTTAGTCTTTTTATTGTGTTTGCTTTTAAGTGTAACTTTACCCACCTGCTAGATATTATCTATTAACCAATAAACTTGTCCATATTAAGAACATTTACATTGAAAGTTGAACCGAATAAAATACACATGGTGAAATTCATAAGAACAATTCATACTTTCAAAGAGTGTTGATAAAAATAATCTGAGGTGAATTCAAATTAGTGTCTTTTTAATACTCTCAACCTCTACCCCTAATTCCCCTTTCACCACTCTTCGTCTTGAGGTAACATAGAGAGAATCAATCACATGTCATGAAAATGACGTTGAGATTAAATATAGAGGTGAAAATTAGTTAGAATTCACCACGAGAAGTGAAAATAGAGGTTGAGAGTATTAAACATTAGTTAGAATTCACCACGAGAAGTGAAAATAGAGGTCGAGAGTATTAAACATGAATTAATTTGAATTCATCCAAATTTATTCTTGTGAATACTATTACTTTTTCGAATTATTTTTATGGAGTTTCATTATGGACTCAAATTTGGTCTTATGAATTTCGCCAATACAATTTGACAAAGCCGGCCAAAATCAAGATGGTTCCGTACTTCGGTTTGACTTAATTTGAAAATTCACTGGATTGACAAAATGATGAGAACATGCTAAAATTATCCAAAATTGAAACAACTTAACTAAAATAATCAAAAGTTACTCAAATAGTACAACTCGGTTCTTTGTTTCACAATTTTTAAACTTTATTGTAAAAATCGAATTAGGGAACATCCCTAATCTTCACTTAAGAAACTCTTTATTCTCACAGAGTCAATTCACTTTTTTAAAAGCCAATGGATTAAAAAAAGATCCATCATAATCCATATTCAATACACCCTTAAGAATATACTAAGGAGGGTGTCCGCGATTTGGATTCTGGAGGATTTTAATGGAGTTTAGAAATCCGTCAGAATTCGGGTGTCCCCGATTTGGATTTCTGTGGAATCCATGAAAATAAGGATGTCCTCAAACATTTAATGGATTTCTATTTCTACTTATTTTGATGGATTTTAATGGATTTTAATGGATTTCTATATACAAAAACATTACACCACAAATCTTGTAGAATCCCTTAGATTTCAAAATCCATTCAAACTCCAAGTTGGGGACACCCCGTAGGCCCCTAAGAAAATAGTTGAATTCCAGATTGGGAATCAAGGTTCCATAACATTATGCATTATGATGCTAAAAAGTTCCTCCTTTACAAACATAGAGGTTCTGTACATTAAAATAGAAAAACGTGAGACACCCTGATGAACTACTGTACATGTCTATTTATTTTGCACAAACTGTTTTCAAAAGGCTGGTGTGCGCTTGGTCAACTTAAACGAGTTTTTAGTACTGAAGGCTTTAAACTACAATCGTCCATTCGTCCCGAACAAGTAAAGATACAAATGCAATTAAATGAGTCTTATGCACTCTTTACTACAACCATCATCCAACAAGTATAAATGATAAAATGAATATATGCACTATTTAGTACAAATATTGTCCATTAAGTATACCGTCAGAGATTATGATTATCTTAGCTTTCTGTAACACTAATACACAATCCTAAATACTGTAATTTCTGACCATTTTTCTGTGCGCTCCAAATGCTTTTCCCATAAAGTGTACCAGTAGTTCGATCTGAAACATATAAGTATTGGATATACAGACTTTAACCTCCGGCAGCCTTTAGAAAATTATCGTATGGACTTGCAGGTGGCAGTACAATGTAGCTGGGATGGTGTTGAAATTCAGCTCCACATGACATCAGAGCAGCGTTGTTGATTGGTGGACCCAAGGCGGTAGTGTCAGAAAAGGGATTTCCATTTTCCTGTGCATATGTATGCAGAATAAGAGATTTGCAATATGGAGGTGAATAGAATGAATCTCTATGCATGCAATATTGCAATGCCTGCTAATGCCATTCAATATTGATTTCATTTATAGTATTCATACATCAACTAAACCAATACGGAGTAATATATATCCAAAAACCTTTGAAATCACTAAGTAGTACGGAGTATAAAAAATAATCATTCGACTGCTAATGGCATTCAATTTTTTGTCTGAAAAATATTTTGTATTTTATTGATTCTTGTTTCAATCAAACTTTGAAAAAAAATGTTAGATAGAGAGAGTAGATGTTGGAAAATATGCGGTGTCATTTCTAATATATTGACCCTATTTTTAAAAACTAAGGTGTCATCCTTTCAAATTTCAATTTACATTTGAATATACATGTAAACATAATTTTTTCCAGTGGTGTCAATTGACACCACACTACTAAGCCTAGCACCGTCCCTACCGTCGAGGTTTAGACGAGCTTCAATTTTGAGCAGAGCTTCAGGCTTTAAATACTAAGGCAGATCAATTAAAAATGAAAACTTTCCACTTTTGGTTTACGAGTACGACTATTAAACACCCCTCGCTTTAGGCCCCCAACTTTCATGTTTACCACTTATTGGTATATTAATATTGAGCTCTTGTCTCGTGCACTTATTAGCCAAAACCAACCACCAACTGTCAAAAAAATCATCTTGTTGTGTTACATCCATGAACAACCTTCACATTTAGACTTCAGTCCAAGAATACTCATGAGGACTTATGGTTGGCGGCCAAAAGGGCATAACGTTGATAGACATGCACCAAAAGTGGGGGGGTCAGAGGAGAAAACCCTTCTAATTAATAGATAAACCTAGAATATTAACTGATATATCACTGTATAGCATCTATTTTATAATTTATCTATGTTGAAGTTATAAGATGTTGTATTAATGCTTACTATATGAAGCTGATCAAGTAGGGAGTAATATGGTTTGACATTTTCCACGCTGTATCCCCAGTCCTTCAAGAACATCTCATTTTCTTGAATCTTTTGGGAACCCATAAAACGCAACTTTTTCTGCTTTCCCATTTGAAGGGCTTCACACTGCTTAGCCATATCTTTGAAAGTCATGACAGAAGGAACTGAGACTGAGAGTCTTCCGACATTTGTGATCTCTGATACCTGCAGAAATTCACCTGTAAGATTTAGAACATCTGAAGCTTAACTTTTAGAAAGGATTCCTAAAGGATTCATAGCAAAGAAAAATAATGCACGGCATGGATAATTTGATACTGCAAGGATAACACATGTAAAAGGAAACAGTCAATGCAAAGAACATTACATACAAATTACGAGCTAGTCTATGCCTGAAAAATGGATGCACAAATTTCCCCGTAAAAAGAATTACTTGAAGTAATTGGGAACCTAACACCATGAACGCAATGGTTATTTACTAATTGAATTTGGAAAGTTTAATGCTATTGCGGTATTACCCGTCACTTGCAAGCCCATGAGAGTTACAACTAGAAGTCTAGAATGTATATCTATGTACCATGTTGAGTGTATCGGTATGTCCATTTCACTGGCTTAGCTTCTCGGGTAACTACAAGTTTCATTTTAGTATCCTAGAATCCTAATGTATGAAGGTACTCCATCTGTTCCAGAAATCCATGCCAAGGTGGTAGGGCTCCTTTAGCTGCCTACACTTATTTCTCAACTTGATCCGTCTTATTGCGTCTATGCTCAGCCTGAACATGCTCAGACCGCAGCCCACCGCTTGCTTAGCTCTAATGATTCCTAAGCAAGTAAGCATGCATTTTTTCCTTGGGAATGCAATAGTAGGGGGAATAGCTGGAGCTTATGAAGAAAACATATACTATGTATAAATTTCATAAGCTGGACTCCATCTTCTAACCAACTCATCTACAGATGGGTTGCACGAGAAAAGTAGAAAACAAAACATACCGAATCCATAAGCTGGTTGATATCCAGGAAGCTAGGGTTTTGTAAAATAAGATGAGAGTTTGTATCTGTCTGACTCTGAAACCCATCAATCATAAGGGTGCTATCTGCATTAAAGATTGGATCTAAAGCCTGCACAATCATGTCAGGTATGCATAAGAAAGAAATTCTCAGAAGGGAACATGACCACAACACATTTATTCCCTACTACCTCATCTAGAGCTTCGGACTCATCTGACCCGAAGTGGTAGATTTGGGAGGGCATTTCAGTGAATAGTTGAGCACCCAATGGACAAACATCATCTGGAAGAAAATCTTGAAGCAACTGTTCCTTTAAAAGATTTGTCTTGTCCTGAAAAACTTTCAAATGACTAGTCGTACATAGCCTCAAGAAAAATATGTTTCGTAGCAGGAGAAGTGAGTGAACATACTGTCAGTGTCTTCGTGAAGCACTCAACGATCATCGATGCAAAAGATTCTGTAGATAATTTATTACATATGTCTACTTCTGAAAGTGATTTCAGGGCATCATTGTCGTCCTCTGGTGATCCATAAACTATCCTGGGATCTGGTGAATTAATTGCCTGCAGTTTGGAATCATCCATCAACCGAAGAAAGGGGTCTCCCTGTACAATATCGTGAACATAAAATTACCAAAATCATTGGTTAGTAAAGAGTATTTCATTCATCAAGTAGATGATATTGACTAATATGGTCCTGCCAATTAAAAGATTGGGATATTAGAGTGAAGAGACATTTACTGATTTGCATAATTTCATCTAGGGCTGTCAAGTGAGAACAACCGAGCTTTTTTTGAACTATTCGAGTTCGAGCTCGACTTCGAACATAACAAGCCGAGCTTAACGAGCTTCAAACTCGAACACGAGCTGAGTTTTAAGTTCAAATACTAAGCCGAAGTCGAGCATAGTAATATTCAGCTCGGCTCGAGTTCGAGCCTATCAAACACCCTGAAATTATTGGCACAAGTTATATACGTAGTATGTGTCAATATTTAATGTAATTAGTATGGTTTTATAAATTTAAATAAGATTATTAGCGAATTGTATCTGTCGAATAATTCAAGCACGAGATTATTTATGAGCATCACCTAAAATGTTAGGTTCGAGCATATTTATTGAGCTTATTGAGAGCTCGGATTGAACATCGAACGCCTATCGAGCCGAATGTGAGCCTCATTTGTAAAGCTCGTTGAGCTTTGAGCTTGAACCCAAACACCACTATTACCGAATCGAGTTGAACTCGAACTATGAGTGTCCGGGCTCACCTCGGCTCATTAACAGCCCTAATTTCATCAACATGTTTCTTTGTGCGTGGGGACCTTAGATTATTTTTCACGTGCAAAACACATGGAAGCTGAAATGACAGGTAAAGTGGAGACATTTAATGTTTTATAAATTATACAGGTTTTTAATTAGGGGCGGAACATTAAATACTCCAATTTGATTTAAAATATGCAAAACAATTCTATGTTCAAATCCAACGTAATAAGTGTGTATCTTCATTTCTCACAAATAACTTGAAACTTTAGTTGAGGTGGAGCACACTGCACATACTCTAATTATGCTTAATTAAATTTCATGAACATAGCAGTGATGTTTTGCTTACTGTTTTATCAGACAATGCATCCTTAGCAGAAACAACAAGAGGGATAAAGTTATACGCCTTTGACAAAAAGATTATCATAGCGGTTGACAGAGTAAAGAGTGATCGGCGACGAGAAGGTGGCAACTGCCCTACAAACATGAAAACTATTATTTCAAGAAAGACTGGCTAAATTTGGAGAAAATAATTGGTTTAGTCAATGGTAAAATGGTACAGTCAGGAAAAACATGAAGCTCAAGAGATTATGAGCATCAAGAAAATATATCTGTGGAACTGTATTATAAAGAAAGTCATAATAACCCAAACTGAAATACCTCCTCCTTGAAGTGAAATGTTCCTCAATGAAAAAGCAAGTTGGAAACTACGAATAAGGACCTCCTCACTGGACTTCTGTATTAATCAAAAGCAGTATGCTGTCAGTTAACCAAGCAATGGAAAAGTTTATCTTTCTTGGGTCAAAAAAAACGTACTACTTGTAACTAAGCTAACAAAAAATATCATGGAATCCTTTGCTTATCTTTGGTCAAGGTCAATAAACTTGAAAATTACAGTGGAGTAATATTTTAATTTAAAAGGGGAAATTGGTAATATATCCTTGCCGCTATACAAGGTAGCATTATCCGTTTATATTTTCAGAAGTGCTATGACTAAGGAACTACATGCTTATCTAGCCGACTGTAATCCCAAAATCTCATTTTTAAAAACTCCGTAGTACATAGAAACTAAGAAATAAGTAATAACTAGGATGCTAGGTATTATTCATATCTGCATTTGAGTTACAATATTAAGATGAGTATCACACCTTTGTTTGAGAGAACAACATTACCAAGCTGTAAGTATGAGCAATTGCTTCAAAATTTTCAGGTGTATTTGAAGGAGAGATGGCCTGTGCCCATATGGAAGAAAGCAGTATACTAATTTGTCGTGTTTTCAACTTGAGAGAAATGCCCACCTGTGTAAGATAAAGTCATTGTAAACTATAAATATATATTCTTTCTCTGAAGAAAATAGAACATGGTGAAATAATAAGGCGTACCGCTTCCCTTTGTACCACACCCATTTCTAGTTCTTCATTACTTTCAATCAATGGATTCCTTTTAGCAGTATAAACTCGGCTATAACTTGATCTCAACCGGTTCAGCATAGACTGGCTATTGAAATTTGACCTCTCATACTGTAAAACACATTCCTTTTCCACACTTGTTCGTAATGAATGTTGCTCCTTACCAAAATTTTCAAATAAAGCAGCTGAAGAAGAAAAAACTGAAGCTGCTCTGGAAAGAGTTCTTTGAATGCTAGCAGTCATTGTTGAGGGGAGACGATCAGGAGAAGGGCAAGGGCAAACAGAGGATGGGACAAGTACAACAGAAAATACACGATGTGCCCCAATCCTGGTCTCATGGTCTGGTGAGACCATGGCCAAAAGAATTTGATGAAACAATGCCTCAGGGAAAGCCTGAAAAGTAATAGTGATGGAGAATATAAACTCAGTAAACCGAACGGTCAGAGACCAGTCAGCATCACAGGAAGTAACCGAGCGGTCAGAGTTTGGTCAAAGAAGACTTAATGGTTATCTGGGAGGCATCAAATAAGGAATATCTTTGTAATTAGATAGTCCGTAGTTACTATCCCTATACTTATTACGAAAATTAAATTGTAATTACAGAATGTGACCATTGGGGCTTCAGTATAAAAGGGGCCGGCAGTCACAAATAGGGAGGGATCTTTTGAGCAATCCAAGAATTCTTACCATTGTTCATCATTTCCTTATAATTCTCAATTTCTTAAAACAATTAATTTATTTCCTATTCAAAGAAAAGTTTTATGTTGGGTCAACCTTAAATAAAATCCAACAAATAGTTAAATCAAAGAGTTGGAATTATTATTCTAAATACCATAAGGTAAAAAGGAGTGGGGGCTTGCCTTGTTTTGATATGATATATTTGGTAAGGATGCTGCTATTTGAGCAGTACGGTATACAGTAGCAATTGTGTTTCTGGCCATAACTGGTATATTTGAAATGCTTTCCAGCATTACTGCCATAACATCAAGAATCTGGCCAGCATCTCCAACCTGTCTTACAAAACATCATAGTTAGATTAGGAAGCAAGAGCCCGCCTCCAATTTCCTGTTTTTATTTTCTTAAATATTATTACTCTAGCAAAGGGTGCATAGTATTGTCCTTATATAAGACATTACATAGTTAGATTAGGAAGCAAGAGCCCGCCTCCAATTTCCTGTTTTTATTTTTTTAAATGTTATTACTCTAGCAAAGGGTGCATAGTATTGTCCTTATATAAGACATTACATAGGAACCTCCGGAAACTCAATTGTCGGAACTAATTGAGTTTATACAAAAACTACTGGTTACAGAAACGATGGACAAGAAACTAGTTCAAGCTTATCATGATGGCATAACAGTGGATATAATAAATGATAAAATGATAACAAGTTCACCTTATGAGAGATCTGAACAAGGCATTTGTCAACTGCGGAATGATATTTTCTGTTCCACTGAATTACTTCGTCCCCCAGGTCCGAGTCATCAAGGGAACAGTGTATACTTTTCCTAAGGTGTCTCATCATATCACTAAATGCACCAACAGCTTTAGCAGATGGATGTACCTTTAGGTGCTGAGCAAGAGAGGTGGCAACTTCAACAATATCTACCTGCATATTAGGGTTTTTTAGGACATTCTTGTGGTCAAGGTGCTTGATTAATGTCGACAACAAAAAATGTGTATTATATCCTGCAATAATAAGAAAACAAAAATTAAGTTCAATGGTATCAACAAGAATGGCAATGATAGCTTGCATTAACAAATATTTATATTATCAAGACCAGCACCAGAGTTTTCCATAATAAATTGCATGTCCAGCAAAACAGAAAGGGCAACTCCATGTTGAGTTGACCAAAGATTGCCATTATCAAAATAACAGAATAGAGACTCTAAAACACGCCGCACAGTTGTTCCTTCCTTGGCTAACTTTGCCATATTGTGTAAGCACACCTTAGACCAAAACATAGGATTCGTAAAATCTTCTCTGCTCAAAGAATAACAAGAGATGTACGATCAATAACTTAAGACAAAACTAGTCATGTCTTAATGACAACAGCAAGAGGAATTACACGGTCACATTAAGGCCTCTATCAGTTACAATATTCCGCCAAGAAGTAACCCTTGTCATTGGATCAGCAACTTTTCCACCAGTATAATTTTGTGCATCTTGGTTATCATGGTGGTCTAGTTTTTGCTCAGGGCTTTCATAGTTTTCCAGGACAACAGTAACAACCTGATAATGTAGAAAAAAATATCTAAACTGTTATATCTACCAAAAAGAATATGTTTTCGTCATCTAAAACTTTATAATAAAAAAAGTAAAAGTGAAACAAGAACCATCATAGAGGAGGAAATATCAAACACCAGAGAGTTACTAAGCAAATTATGAATCTATGATGGTAGAAAATGATGGAAGCATTTCAACACAAACAATGAAATTAAAGTAAATTCACATCAATAGCCATGAATTGCCCTATTATATTTCAAGAATGTATAAATATGTACTCGTTCCTTTCTCTTTTATGTGTTTTTTCATGTGTCTGCACACATTCTAAGTAAATAGTTTTACTCTAGTCAAGGTAACAATAATACAATATGACTAGAATACCCTATTACAACAACAACAACAACATCCAAGCCTTAATCCCAAAAAAATTTGGGGTCGGCTAACATGAATCGATCTATGATATCGATGTCAAACAGAGAAGACGGACAAAAAAGGAAGAAGAAAAAAAAGAAGTAAGATAAAACGGATAAAATAAAGATAAATAAATATAAGATAACAATAACATAAGAATATAAGAAAGATAAAAAAGATAAGAGCACAAAAAAGCTGGCAAATCAAAATAACATAAGAATATAAAAAGATAAAGAAGATAAACAATAAAAGAAAAGAGAGAGGAAAGGTAGAAAAGATAAATCGTCCACACGGATGTGCGCCCTCCACTTTGCTCTCTCAAAAGTCATACTCTCATCCAACCCATGAAGACACATATCAGTTCTGATTCCTCTAATCCAAGCATGTTTGGGTCTTCCCTCCCTCTCTTCCCTGCCTTTTCTCCCCACCCCTCAAGTGTCTAACAGGTGCATCACTCGGTCTTCTACGCACATGCCCAAACCACCGCAAACGAGACTCTTGTATCTTATCTTCTATAGGTGCTACTCCAACCTTTTATCTGATTATCTCATACGCATCATACGCATCTTTGCCACACTCATCTTTTGGATCTAACACTAGAATACCCTATTAATGTATAAAATTCATGTTCATATGTACAACTACTCCACCCCACCCCTTTATATCTTCCTATTTTCCTTTTTGGACCATCCCTAAATAATCTTCCTTTTCACTTTTAAGTAAACAATATGTGGTCCATATTCTTCCAAGTCAACCCCAAAATATTTTATACTTCGGGCCAAGTCAAAGCCAGAATATTAAAGGGACATAGGGAATCATTTTTATGGATGGAGAAGGGTAATGGTGGAAATGAGTGATTAATACTCCCTTGAAATTCTAAAATGACAGTTTTTAGAACATTTTTTCCCTTCAAAGCTACAGTTAAAAAGATAACAGAGGGAGTAGCACTTTCGTAGTCACTCCATTGTCCACCCTTTTAGTTTCCCCACCCATAGTTTGTGCTCAATCACATATGTTACGTACTTACATCCTAGCATCGCCACAAATAAGATTGCATTATTAAGTTACCCATATACAATTAAAACTCCAGGCACTCTCGGGGTAAAAGTAATCCGTAATGTAGTGATCTAACAACTAATAAGTACTGGAGAAATAACCAAGAACTTACATTGTCAAACTCTGCTGGCATGTGACCAAATTCTCCCATGAACCAAACCTGTACATAAATGCATAAACAATAACTACAAGTCTAAAAGAATTTATGATGCACTGGTATGTTGCTAATAGCTTGCCATATCATAAAGTCAAATTTGTTCAAGCTGACAGATGAATGATACTTTTTCATGTCCTTTTAAGGGGAAAATAGTTTAAATACCCAAACTTTGAAGAAGTGTGATGTAAGCACCCCAAACTTTCATATGTAATATTTATACCCCGAACTTTATAGAAAAGTAATATCAGCACCATGAACATATATTTTTTCTTTCACAATGTAAATTTATGACGCTTTAACTACACCTCTATAAATGTTTTAGTATTATAAACATGTGATTAACACCATAAGTTTACATTTTCGAATAAAAAAATACATAGTAGTGGTGCTAACATAACTTTTTATGTAAAGTTCAGGGTGTATATATTACATATGTAAGTTTGGGGTGCTTACCTCACACCCCTTCATAGTTTGGAGTAATTAAATTATTTTCCCCTTCTTTTAATGGTGTGTTTAGCTAGTTTCGGTGGAAATATGAGTGAACATGCAAAGGTAACGGTACTTCTAGAATTAAAAGTTAGTTACTGATTAATAAAATAATAAATAGACTGAAAACTATTTTAGCAAATACGAGTACAGAATGCATTTAAAAGAATATATTCACTTTCATAGCTACTTTGGCAATTTGCTGTTCACACTCCCTTGGTGATATATCTGGACAGTATTGTATATAATAATTAGGATAAAAGAAGTAATTTGTCACCAAACTTTCTTTCCAGAAACAACATGATACTGATACAATGCGCCGGGTTTTATCACTTTTATGGTGAAATTTCTCCTTTTTGTAAAATTAGAATGGAAAATCAAGTGATTCAGCCACGTGAGAACAAATGTTATCAGTTTGGCACAACATAATATATTATCAAACTTTATAGCAGGCAGTGACGTTGGATGTATCCAGAAGACAGTAGCATATTGCTAAGAAATTTACCATAGAAGAGAGAACTTGAAGCCCAGCACACCGTAATTTCCGTACTCTTTCCTCATCTCCGGTCTCTTGAGGAAGAAAACAGATTTTTGGTATTAAGCCTTCTAGGTTAAACATGTATGTGGCATCAATCTATAAAGTAAATAAATAGTGCATAAGCTCTATGTTGTGTTTTATGAAAAATGTTAGCTCACTCAATGCTACTTAATATTGCAAGAGAAAGAGCATGAAACTACCTGATTATTTATAAATTCAAATAGTGACTCACATCCAACAATGCACATTTCATCATTCCCTATTTGATCCAGTAAGATTTGTACAATATTGAGAAAACTTCCTGCAAACAATGGCCTGTTCGTACAGTACTTAATATTCATCAGCACAGTAAGTATAAATACAGTTAATATGTCTTCTTTCTTTTAAGAGAGTTAAGATATCTTTTTATATTCTTTGTTAAAACATTTTATTATTAAAAAATTGTTAAAGTGTCTTAAATGAATATAAAGAGGAAAAATATTGTACTCTATAGTAGTGTTATGGTTTTTAAATTTTTCCAAGCAGAAGCTCCAAGCACAGAATAAATTGTATTAAAATAAATGTTTCCACCTAAACTAAAAGTTTGGACTATTAGTAAAAGGGTATGGATAGCAAACAAGTGGAAATACTTTGGGGATGAATAGCAAAAGGAATACGACCCCTTCGCAACTTGCCTGCTTTAGTATGACTATAAAGTGTGTACTTCTCAACTAATTTTTTAGCTATTAGTAAGAGGCCACAATGCGTATTTTATATTTATCATCAACGAAATGAATGAAATTTCTCTATGCAAATCAAATGATTTCTGTTTAGCTCATCATCAGTCAAAAGCTTTTCAGAATCTTGGTTAGTTCACTTGGTTGACTGATATCAATTGTTATTCCATCAAATGGGCTCTATTATGCTGATGGCTGGTCGTGTAATAATGGAGTATTGCAAAAGGAGTCTTTCAATTATTAAAATATACGTATTATTTGCAAAATCTATGTATGGACAAAACGCATCTAAGACAGAACTTATTAAAGTATTACTAGAGCCCGTTTGGTAACGCTGAAATTGGTTGAATCGGCTGATTCTACTGAAATTTATGAAGTTCTGACTGAAGTAGCTGTGAAGTGGTTGTATTGGCCGATTCTGCTGATTTATGAAAAAATTATATTTAAAATATATTTTATTAATAAAATGAAGAAAAAAATATGTGAAAAAATAGCTAAAATGGTCATCTACAGTAACTTCAGCCAATACAGCCAGAAAAGTAACTTCAACCTTACTTTTTCTTATTATTACACAATTCAGCGCGCGAAACCAAAATTTACGTGTTTGGTTAAAAAGTTGGGTGATAAGTCTGATAAGCCAAAAAACAAGTCACCAAACGGGCTCTAGATGTAACTAGAAGTCGTAGTAATCCTTCTATTTCCCAACAATAACAAAACCGAACGGAGAAAAAATAATGGACTCCAAACAATTATCAATATCAGCAAAGATCTGCAACCACAACTAGAAGAGTAGAAGGCAACTGATAATTGTATGTGTAACATATAGTTGAAGCAACTAAGCAAGAACATGGACTGGAGTCAACAAAAGTTCCTCCAAAACCGAGCTATAAAAAGGCATGTACGCACAACCAATAACGACTATTACAAATTTTTAGATAAAAAGGCATGATAGAAAGGATTTGTCTAGTCTTGTTCTTACAGAAATAACTCAAACAAAGACAAAATTCAGTACGTGTTAAAAACATATTAAAAATTGAGTCCATATAAAGACTGGTGTCATTCTTAACAAATTTAATAATATTGGAAAATGAACTCACATTTGCTGCTTGCAAGCTGTTAGAAATCTCCGGTATATTAACATGACTATCTTTACTGATGAAAGATTCTCATTTCTCAATTCCCGATAGAACCTTTGCTCAAGAGAAGTTGTGATCTGATAATTAGATTGAGTATAATTAAAGTTCTACACTTGGGGAGGCAGCTATGTGGAATTGGGGATACTATCAAAATAAGACCCCCACACATCATTCTTTACATGTGGATCGTGGATACTATCAAAGTGCCAACAACTCCAAAGACTACAATCATCAAATGTAGGTATGGAATGTTAGCTTAAGTGCCTAACCTTGGGTATACGCAGTGGATTCTTTGAAGCATATTCGCACAATTTGTTAATCATTCGCTCATTGGGCTCCCCTCCCTGCTAAAATTAAGAAATAATTGACACTATACATTCAAGATTAAAGAAAACATTAAGATACACACTGCAAACAATCCTTTCTCACATAGAAACGGAGAAACATATCAACATGAAAAGGATAAGGAAAAAAGGAACATTGTCTATATCTCATGATCAGACTAAGTTAGTAGCCAATATCAGCATGGGCGAAGATAGGGAAGTGTTGGAGAGTGCCTCGGCCCACCCCCCACCCCCCACCCCAAGAAAAAAAAAATGTGATGTACAAATATATGTATAAATATTTATAAGCAGTAAAAAAATACGAAGTATATTGAAATTTTAAGTTGTGGCCCCCCAATATAAATTCTTTAATCCCCAGCCCCCCTATCTGGTCACTATTTCTCACCATCCCAATACTTTCTTTTATTTATTTCCGCATTACAGGGCATATTAATAACTAGTAATTGCAAACCATACAGAATCAGATATTTTTTATCCATCAGAAATGGCCTCCTAATAGCAAATAGCAATCCCTCTTTGCCAAGGAAAACAGAGGTCGCTTCCCTTCTACAAATTTAGTGTATTAGTTACTATCATAATCAAAGTATCAAACATTCTTTTCGAAGTGCCTATTATTTTGAAGACAGTCTCATCACTTTATGCTCTATTGTAAATTTGTACTTGAGAAAGCTGTCTATTTGATGTCAAATCAAGTTGGCTCAAACAGCACCAAAGAGTATAGCAGTGCATAGAGCAAATGATTACATGGTCTTTGAGCTAATAAAGGTAGAAAACTCTACAAAACAACTAAATTGTTTTTTGGGTACTTCAGGTGAACTCTGTAATCACATCAATCCCCCGTGGTATTTTTGAACATTAATGCCTTCACTGTTTCAGCATGAGCTCATTTAATAAAATAATTTCTTCACACTAAATACAGTTGGAGATGGAAGTATTGAAAGCTAATCCTCTGATCATCACTCTCTTCCAAACAATATATTACACCACCATTAGTTGATGCAAGACTCGCTTATAGGGAAGCTATAGGAAACAGAGTATTCAGGTAGAAGCTAAAGAAGGCTCTTTTCATTAAAAACTATAACAGAAGAAATCTGAAAAATTTAACAGAACTGGAAATGAAATGGGGAGACTAACAGGAGATCGGGGAAATATATCAGTAAGCATCTTCTTGTAACGCTTCACCGGCTGCCGTGATCTGGGCCGCATTGCCGGGCAACAGACACAGAGCTGATCACAGGCCGGCATCACCCTGTGGGAAATCATACCCATTCTTCAACGCCAATCTATATTATGTATAGATACTTCCGATACAACAAAACAAAGCAGAAACTGCTGCGGTTCTGAACGGAATTTGAATGGTCAAAGATTCTTTCTTTATTTTTCCTCGGCTTTACGGGGAATTGAAAACTGGGAGGGCCGGGTAGAAGATCGGGGAATTGACGATGCTGATCTCCGACTTTCCTCAAGAAAAGAGCTCGGAAAGATCCAAAGAGGAATGAAAAGATGGAGGAAAGCGGAGATGAGAGAAAAATTGTGGCTGTTCTTTCTGGTATTTAAACGAAAGGGAGGTCTTCCCGGATTTGCATGAAAAGTACGTTCGCCACTTAGCTGTTTTGACGAGTTGGAATATAAAAAAAAAAATCAACTTTAGAAATCTGCTCAAGAAATAGTGGGATGCTTAAAGATTTTAGAGGCGTTGAGATCCTCTCCTTGACTCAAAGCAAGATACAGTCTAGCACACATACAACCACGAATTATGGTTGGATTTAAAGGGTTGGATTGGACAAGGTTCTTGGTAGGGCCGTACGCATGAGTAAATATTGAGTGAGTATAACGTGCAACCTGTATACGGTGAGCACCTTATACCGGAACGGTTTTATATTTTTTTTTTCTTTTGTTTTTAAAAAATGGTTATAATTTTTTTATTTTTGATCCGATTTTTATAAAATTTATATCAACATTTTTTATTTTTCATGATCTTTCAAATGAGACCAATATTGCCTATATAATTTTAACATATTAACATTTGTGTGTAAAATATGTAACTTTAAGTGTTAAAATATGTAATTCACGTTCAGTCAAGTCAAATGCAACTCGTGTGTATAAATATGTATCTCTACGTGTAACAATATGTAACTTTACGTAAAAAAATATGTAACTCGCATTTAGACAGGTCACATGCAACTCGTGTGTATAAATATGTAACTCGCGTGTATAAATATGCAACTTTACGTGTAAAAATATGTAACTTTACGTGTAAATATATGTAAGTCGCGTTCAGACATGTCAAATGCAACTCGTGTGTATATATATGTAACTCGCTTATAAAAAGATGTAACTTGCTTATAAAAAGATGTAACTCGCTTATAAAAAAATGTAACTCACTCATAAAAAGATGTAACTCAATGTATTATCAAATGTAACTGAGGCCACTGATCCACTCCCAAACAGATTCGATCTTCTATTTCACAAACCTATCATCTCCCAAACAGATTCGATTTTTCTTATAATCCAATACTCATTAATATAATAGTTCGATAATTTCATAAAATTACATACACAATATTGGTCTCATTTGAAAGATCATGAAAAATAAAAAATGTTGATATAAATTTTATAAAAATCGGATTAAAAATAAAAAAGTTATTATCATTTTTAACATCAAAAACCAAAAAAAGATAACTGCGTCGTTTTTGCAACCGGGCGCACCATCCTCATAGTGCGCCGGTTGCACCATATAATTTGCAGTAAATATTGGTCATTATCGAACGGAAAAGTCTAGTTGTACACACTTTTCTAACTCTCTTTTTTTACCTTTCACTTTTACCATTTTTTTCTCCCTCTCATCCACTCCCTCATCTTCTCAGTACGTCCCCCCAAATCCATCTTCCCCCCAAATCCATCTTCCCCCAAATCCATATGCTTATAGAAAATCACCATTTCCTTCATTTCATTCTTCTGAAACTCTCCCCTTCCAAATTCACATGTTTATAGGAAACCTTTCATCCTCCGCTTCCTTTATCACCTCTTTTACCGTTTTTCGACCCAGAGACTTAAACTCTATTCCGCGGCTATGACCGACGAAACTCTATGACCGCTCAACCACTACATTCTTCACCTACACCATCTAAGGTACTCTGTCATTCTCTTTTGTGAATTAAGTGTTAATTTCTATGCGAAGTGCATTGGTTAATGGATTGTCCTTTATTTTTAATTCCAATTTTATGCCAATTTTTTCTGTGATTTTTTTGAATATTATATCTGTGAATTTCTTAATTTAACCATTTACTTTAATTGTTGTAATCTGTGTGGGTGATTATTGTGGTTATAGTCTAACAACTTCTTTACATTTTCTTAGCCATAAAGTGTTTGTTAAAGGTCTCAATGAATGTCTGTTCAATACTAGAAGCATGAACGTAAAATATTAGAAATTGAAATGGTTTAATATTCTTTAATTTTTAGTTTGGTGTTGTATTTTTTTATGTTTAATGAAATGGGAAATAATATACTAGCAGTGTTTTTGTTATGCTAAATCCTTTTGGTGTGGAAAGTATGATAACATTCTTCCCATCCACAGTTTGCATTTTCAAATCATCTTTTGGCATCATTAAGGGAAAACATGAAGCTCTGAAAGAAGTCCTCAGGTTATCTTCCATTGAATATGCTTTTGTATAAAGAGGGCTCCCCTTTCTTCTCCCTGCACCCCCCCATGATGGTGCTGATTCCCTCCTGCCAGAGCTGCTTTGTGTTGCCCATTTGATTCCAGTTGGATCCATTTCATGGTGAGAAGATTCTAAGTTGGTCTTCTTCCCCATTAGGGCTTCCACAGCTAATAAAGCAAACAGTGATGTCGAAACAACAGCTGCATTGCTTCCAGAGAGTTGCTTCCAAAGAAGATTATCTTCTAATTTAAAGAGTGGTTTATATTTAGTTTTCAAAGTGGGTGATGTTGTAGTAGTGGCAGCTGTTTATAATCATTATGTGATTCTTTAGAATAAAAGAATGGTGTGTTATATAAGTGTTATGATTGTAAGAGATTCAGCATTTTATGGCATTGTTGTGAATGCACAATGCTACTTTATTAATGAATATGTATTTAGTAACTTTATCTGAAATGTCCATACAAATTGCTTGGGCATGGTTATGAATTGTCTATGTTCGAGGTTTTATTGTTTATGCGTGGTTGAAGCATTGTCTATGAGTTCATTTATTTTGTCCGTGCATAGTCAAAGCAACGTCTATGTATTTGTTTATACTGTCTGTGCGTGGTTAAAGCATAGTCCATGGTTACGAATTGCTTGTGCATGGTTATACTGTATTTGTTTATTTTAGCTATTAACAACTTCCGCATAGTCATGTTTTCACAACCTATAGATAAGTGCACTTTTCATATACATCATCATTAACACATATTCTGTTACAATGAGCACCAATATTTTCTAACTAGCTTAGAAAAAAAAACTTTTAAAACATACCATAAAATGATTGATATACTATTCAATACATTTTATTTACAACAAGTAACCTACTCATACAAATACATCAACTGAAACAAAGTTAAGTACCATAAATCTAGCTACTATACTTTTTTTCAATCTTTAATTTTGATACACAACTCACTTTCATCTTTTCTAACTCAATTAGAAACACCATCAATTTTCTCCTCTTGCCATTTTACCACCAAATCACTTGAACATTCAGTGCTATATCTCACACTTCTTTATGCTTATGAAGATTGAACTCACAGCCGCTGAAGATGCTCAAAGAATACTTGAAGACTCACATCATCGGTGAGGATGACATGTGTTCTAGCTGCCATATCATGAGCACTATTGTATTTGGCACATGGATTTAACTTTGCCAACAGAAACCTTGTCTGGGAGCCATGCTGATCACACACCACAAGTCTTGGAAAAGGAAACACTCTTGAATTAGCGATTGTGCCTCATCATGTGGAGCTTGCAACAATTACACAAATTGGTCATCATTAAAGCACATAACAGAAAACTCCTAAGATATGAAAAAAATCATTCAAACATTTTGACAAACATGTAATGGGCATACAATTGAAATACAGTAGGACTTAAATTTCAATTGTTTACATCATAAACCTATATCAATATAATGAAAGAAAATATTCAAGAATTCAAAATCATATCATATACTCCGTTTAGTTTACTACATTTGAAAAAACCACAACCCTATATGAACATAAAAGGGAGTAGATTATTACATTAGTTTTGGAATCTGGAATTGAAACTCGGATTTAAACCCAAGCTCCCATTCTTTAAGGAATCATGACTATCTCTTACCGTACTTCGAGCGGCCATCCTAAATTCAGTCCCAGAATTGGATTTGGTTATTCAAGCTTAGAGTCTGCAAAGGAGACGCTGATGAGAAGCTGAGCGGCAGCTGGTCAGAGAGATTATTGTACGAAATGATGAGGTTCTTTAAACGGGGGAAATTCATGCCGCTGAAAAACGTCCGGTAACGTCCCCTGAAGGTTGCAATTGAGAGAGCTCCTTATAATGTAAAAAAGAGAATGAGAGGGAAGAAAGGAGAAGACGCGAAAATGAGGGGGGGAGGAAGTGGCCTTAGTTTTACAGCTAAGGGGAAGGGGGTAAAAAATAATTTGGTGTATATATAGTGTGTATTGGTGTGTATGAAATGTGTGTACAAAGAGCAAAATTGTTATCGAACGGGGGAGTAAGGCATGATGCAATAATTTAGGGGTGGGCACGGCCGGTTAACCGAATTTGCGGTTAACCGATATACCCGGTTATTAAATTTTCAATACCGTACCCGTATCATAGCATTGGTTAACCGCGTATCGGTTAACCAAATTTTCGGTTAACCGCTAATCGGTTAACCAATAAACCAGAAAAGCAAAAGATAAAGGCTTGCTTATTCTAATTGTTTGTAAATGTTGAACATATATTTTTTTAATTGGGCATGATAACACTTCCACCGATAAATAAATAAATAAATTGAGAAGTAAAATGAAGAGTATTATTTTATGTGTATAGTTTTGGACATCTCGCAGGATTCATCTAAGCATATATAAATACGTATGTGCTAAGCAAAGTAAAAGAAGGAATGAATAATTATAATTACTAAATAAATAAGGGAATGATTAATAACACCGATAGAAAAATCTAGAAATATCTCCTTGACCATAATATTGCTCCACGTAAATGATGCCTGCATATCCAGATATACTCTTGGTAACGGTACGGTCGTCTTCAACTCTTCAACGAAGTATGGACTAACTGGGAAGCAAGAACATAACTGTAGAGGAAATCAGTATCACACCATATGATACAATACATATATTATTTGAAATTTTAGTTATTGGTTAACCGATTAACATAATCTTAAAATCCTAACCGTACCGTGAACCATTTGTTCTCAACGGTCAATTAACCGTACCGTGACTTTTTACAAAATCGGTACGGTTAACCGAAAAATACACCGGTTTTTCGGTTTTTTTATTCGGTTAAGCGGTTACGGTATTTTGTGCCCACCCCTATGATGTATTGATATGGCAGCCTAATCTGTATTCCACCAAGTAAGCCAGTAGCACTCCAGCTGCCTTTGAAGTTTGAAGTTCAGTTACTACGTATTTGAAATTATGAACTTATCAGACAGTGAGTACTGAGTATTGTGTGCAGAGAATTGCGAATAAGAGAGAAATGCTTAACAAATGTAGTGAGCCACAATTCAAAGGAAAATGAACGTTTTATTGAGACAGACGAAAAATGAAGGTTAGAAATTTTTTCAGAGGAGGGAGTAGGATTTTTAGATGAAATTCACCAGGAATCAAGTTCATCATTTGACTTCAGATTCTTAGATAGGATTAAAAATAAAATTGACTTTTCAAATTTGATCTTATTTTATTAAATGATGTAGGGCATGTTTGGTAACAGCTGCATTGATTGAAATGGGCGAAAAGCTTGAAAAGACTGAATTTGGTGAAGTGAGAGTGTTTGATGTTAATAGATAGGCTAAAAGGGTATTATTTTATTTGAATTAAATATATGGGCTTGAACTTTACTACTAAACTTTACTTAAATAATTGATTACTTTTGAAATTTCATTCTTACTCTTACGTCGAATTTTATATTGTTTTAGTAAAAAAATGAGTGACATTAGCTTTATATTATGTGACATATGAGTAAATTAATTTAATAAATATACTCTCTAAAGTATATTAACAAATGGACATGCATTTAAATTAATATAAAGTGAAACATAAAATACACATAAGTATTAATCAAAGTTCATTTTGTGTCAGAAAAATTGAATAGAGTACCCAGCATCTACTAAATAGTATTTACCTATTTAAATAAAATTGAATAATGCTGAAGGATTAAACCTTTCAGTCCTGTTTGATCCTAAGCAAGATCCAGGCAACCATCAGACACACTTTCTTACGCATAAAACATGCTAATACTATCCTCAAATAAGACTTCACGCTTCTTTGTAATCATGGTTGACATTCAAAAAGCATAGGAAGATCCTACTGAATACGAAAAGTTTTACAATAGCTTTTGTGGCAATCTTGAGGAGCTGATCTAGAAACCGTGTGATGAACTAGGCAAATCAAGAGTTATAAAAGTGAAGAGTAAAAACTGCTAATTCCCATTTCATGCATCTGAATCAGCTTGTAGTTGTGTCAAATTATCAAAAGGACTTGAGATTGTCCCATTTGATAACGCTCTGAGGTATAGGTATAGGGTAGCAGCTGGTCAATCATGATCCTCAGCCCTTTAAAAACAACATTGCTTCAAAAACACTGGTTTTTGTAACCGCACCAGATCTGGACTCGGTTCCTTCGTGCCCTACCCCAGCCCACACACCCAATAGGGTAGGGAAGACATGTCACTTTGGCACCTTTGCTTGCCTGGGTGGATTAAAAGTTACACTGCGATCTGTATAAGTTACCTAGGTTGATTGAAAGTTGCACTTTTACAATGCTACCATTATCACATAAACCACACCTCCTTTTCAACTTTACACCTCATAATCTACAAAATAAAACAAATATACATGTATTAAACATATTACAATGGCCAAAAATAACAAATTGCAATAGCAACTAAAAGCCAAGCATACCAACAGCAGAATAGGCATGGATACGTTCATCTAGCCACTCTTATCTATTTAAGGGGAAATTTCTAGTTTCAGCCACTGCAACAAATAGGCAAAAAGACAATCTTCTCTCTTCTCTTTAATAAAACTTGCAGCTAGCTTACAATTTTAAGTAAATGTTTCTAGTAAAAAGAATTTTCCCAAATAGTTTTTTTTTTCAAAAAAGAGCCTTGATGGCCAATAAAGACTTGCAGCACTTAAGATACACAGGCTAGGGATCTCCCCCAAGCTCCACTCTTAGATTGTCATACGGGTAAACCTTTGGGGTAAATGGGATTTTGGAGCTTTATCATTCCTGACAACCAATTACAGTCTTAGCGTTGCATATTTTCCAATTCACCTCACAATTAATCATTTCCAACTGTAATAACATGATGATCAATACAGGGTTCTACGAATCGACCCCTAATTAACCGATTAATTTGGAAGATTGTTTGTGAAAACAAAGCAAAATACCTGATTCTGTTAAAGGAGATGATATATCCGGTCTGAAGCTTCTAGCTTCAGGATCGTGGTAGCTAGATTGAGTCGTTAGCTAAATAATTTCTCATTTGTACGGTTGTACCCTTTATTGATGATCTGGCTTGACAAGTATCCTCTGTTTTTTTCATTGCTTGGATTTTCTTTGAAGATACTGTGGAATTTGTGAAGCATATAATCCTAAATCATGTGCAGAGATAACTTTTCTTTTCATTTAATCCATAATGTGATTCCTGTTGGTATTCTTATGCATCTTTTTGCAAGGCATTATTATGCATATTGTGTGATTCACAATTACTTCTTTCATTTGTGGGGGGAATACGTAGAAGGATTTATAAGAAACTAATCTTTTCATTTCTTAAAAAAAGACTAATGTTTATTTCCTAAAAATCACCAGGCCAATTCGACAACTCTTAGAGCTCTTACAACAATAAATAACATAAAGAGTTGAGCTAAAGATGATGTTTAGCAAAGATTAGAAAACAGAAATCCAGGAACCCTTCTCACAACATCGATTTATCAACAACTACTAATAATCACCCGACAATAAACAAAAACTACGAGTAATCACTGTCATATATTCCGGATTTCCGGGAAGAATTAGGAGAGGGACGTGGGTCTGAAGAATTGAAGAAGAAGATAGAGGGCAGCTTACCTTTATGGATATGGTATTAGATAATAAAAACTATTTTTAGTTAGTTTTTAAACAATTTGGAGTTTGTTATACAGCTGGAGTGTTTGTTATACTTCGGTTATCTCTTTTCCTCCTTTGTATATATCAGTATAAATACTGATATTATTGTAATGAGAATTCTATGAGATGAATGGATCAATTTTCTTCTTTCTTCTTTCTTGCATTCTGTGAACGCTAACATGGTATCAGAGCTTCACAGATAGTTTCTACTTCCGCTTCGATCTGAGATATGTCGAACTCTGATCAATCAAACCTTCCTGATCATCTCATCAATCCTTCAAATCCGTTATTTCTTCATCCTGGAGAAAATCCGGCGCTTGTTCTCGTAACACCGCTTCTCTCAGAGAACAATTTCCAACAATGGAAATATGACATGTTGGTAGCTCTGGAGACGAAGAACAAAGATAAATTCGTTCTTGGAACAATTCCTTGTCCAATTATCGCTGATTCCACCTACGAAGCATGGAGAAGATGCAACAAAATGGTAATGTCTTGGCTTACTCGCTCTATGACTTCTACGATAAGACAATCGGTTATGTGGATAAACAGTGCTTCAGAAATCTGGAAAGACCTAAATGCTCGTTTCTCTCATGGTGACAAATTCAGAATTGCCGATTTACAAGATAATTTGCAAAATTGTAAACAAGGCAGTTTAAGTGTTTCTGAATACTACACACAATTGCAAATCATATGGAAGAAACTGTCAATATATAAAGCTGTTTTAAAGTGTTCTTGCTCAGTGACTTGTTCATGTGGAATTCTTGCAAAAATTCAAAAGGAACGTGAGGATGACAATGTGATCAAGTTTCTGAGAGGTCTCAATGATGAATTTGCTCAAGTGAGATCTCAAATCATGCTTATAGATCCGATGCCTGAACTGACTAAGACTTTTTCACTTGTTCAACAACTACAATAAACCCTCAACAAACTGCAGCACTTGCTACCTTCACCAATGACAACAATCGTAATCAAATCAATCGAGGAGGCTTCTCAAATTCAAGAGGTGGTGGACGTTCAGGAAGAGGAAATGGTGGAGGAAGGAACAACAAATATTGCTCAAAGTGCAAGAAGACCAATCACACTATTGATACTTGCTTTCATATCTATGGATTTCCTCCTGGATATAAAACAAATGAGAAAACTGCATCTGCCTCATCCAGCAACTTGATATCCTCAGGCAACATAACAAATTCTGTAAACAATTTGCAACTCAATGGCTCTGGACAAGAAGATTTCAAATCTGAGACAAGTTATAACTTCTCTAAGCAACAATATCAGGCATTGATGGCTTTAATTCAACAACCACAAACTCAATCCTCATCTGTCAATATTGCCCACACTGATTTTTTAAATAAGTCAGGTAACATCTCAACTCAAATTTCCTGGATCCTTGATAGTGGTGCCACTGATCATATCTGTCCATCTAAAAGCTACTTTTCTTCCCTGCAATCTATCAAACCCATTCATGTTAAACTACCAAATAAACAAGCTGTCTTTGCTTATCATTCTGGCACCATTATTCTTGGAAATTTAACCCTTCACAATGTTCTATATGTTCCTGAGTTTTCAGTTCATTTAATCTCCATCCCTAAACTTACCACATCATTAAATTGCATTGTTATTTTATGTGAATTCAAATGCCTGATTTTGCAGAAAACTACTTTCAAGATGATTGGAGCAGCTAAACAGATTGATGGCTTATTTCAACTCTCACTACATGATGTTTTTCCTACTGATTGTAATACAAATGAGTCTTGTAATTCTGTACTTGTTGAAAATTGTAGAGTCTCAGATTCTGACAGTATATGGCATGCCAAATTAGGACATCCATCAAATAAAGTTCTGCAAACCTTGTCTTCTCAATACATATCAATAAAATTTCCTCAAATTCATGCTTGTGATGTTTGTTCATTTGCTAAACAAAAGAAACTTCCCTTTCTGAACAGCACAAGTAAATCTCATTCATTCTTTGAACTCATTCATGTTGACATCTGGGGTCCTCTTTCAGTATCTTCTATAGAAGGATACAAATACTTTTTAACCATAGTTGATGACTATAGTCGTTTCACTTGGATTCATCTCTTAAAAGCCAAACATGAGGTCAGACAATTACTTCAATCCTTCATCACAATTACTGAAAATCAGTATGATTGCAAATTGAAAAGAATAAGGTCTGATAATGGAAAGGAGTTTCTTCTCACTGATTTCTTCAATTCCAAGGGCATAATACATGAAACTACTTGTGTTGAAACTCCTCAACAAAATGGTATTGTTGAAAGAAAACACCAACATCTTTTGAATGTCTGTAGAGCTCTACTTTTCCAATCCAAAATTCCAAACATTTTCTGGTCTTATGCACTCAAATATGTTGTCCATCTAATCAATAGACTTCCTACCATATTTCTTAAACAGAAATCACCTTTTGAAATGATTCATAATCAAAGACCAAATCTACATCTTTTAAAGGTTTTTGGTTGCCTTGCATATGCTTCTACTCTTACTTCAAACAGAACCAAACTCGATTCTAGAGCCTCTAAATGCATCTTTCTTGGTTTCAAATCTGGAACCAAAGGATATGTACTTTACAACCTACATTCTAGATCATTCATTATCTCCAGAAATGTCATCTTCCATGAATCTGTCTATCCTTACATTAACCTTCAATCTTTCAATCAGAATAATAATGATGATAATACTTCTGAAGTTGATCATAACTACATATTCTATGATTTCCTCACACCACCCAATTCTATATCCATTGAAACAAATTCTGAAAATAATACTTCATCCACTCAAACATCAAACACTGTAGTTGAGAAAGTCACTAACAATCATGCTCCAATCAGAATGTCTACAAGACAGAAATCCAAGCCCAACTATTTGAATCAATATCATTGTTACAATCTCTCTTCTGATTCAAATTCCATAATTTCTTACCCCTTTGTTCATACATATCTTATAACAAATGCTCTTCTAACTACACTGCTTTTTGTCATTCCATTTCTTCCTCCATTGAGCCTTCCAACTTCAAAGAAGCAGTTAAACAGGATTGTTGGAAAGAAGCCATGATGACTGAACTTGATGCTCTAGCTAGAAATAACACTTGGTCTTTGGTTTCACTTCCTCCTGGCAAGAAAGCAGTTGGGTGCAAATGGGTTTACAGAATAAAACATAAGGCTGATGGAAGCATTGACAGATATAAAGCTAGATTGGTCGCAAAAGGATTTACTCAAACAGAAGGTCTGGATTACTTTGAAACTTTCTCCCCAGTAGCAAAACTGACCACTGTGAGATTTCTACTTGCCCTAGCATCCACAAACAATTGGTTTCTACATCAACTTGACATAGACAATGCTTTTCTACATGGTGATTTAGCAGAAGATGTTTACATGAAGCCTCCCCAAGGGCTTAACATACCTCATACTGACCTTGTTTGTAAACTGCAAAGATCCCTTTATGGCTTAAAGCAAGCCAGCAGAAATTGGAACCAAAAATTGAATTCAGCATTAATTCATTTGGGTTATAAGCAAAGTTCTGCTGATCCTTCTCTCTTCATTAAGATTCAAACCGATTTCATCACAATACTACTTGTATATGTTGATGATATTGTTCTAAGTGGAAACAACATCTCTGAAATACAGTCTGTCAAACAATATCTTCATCAAACTTTTAAAATAAAAGATCTTGGTCCATTAAGATTTTTCTTAGGACTAGAGATGGCTAGATCTCAGAAGGGGATCATTCTTAATCAGAGAAAATACTGTTTGGAGTTGATTAATGAAGCTGGCCTACTTGGATCTAAACCTGCAACTACTCCCTCAGATCCAAATGTCAAATTACTTGCAGATCAAGGAAATGTACTTGTTGATTCTACCATTTTTAGAAGATTGATTGGAAAATTATTATATCTCACTAATACCTGTCCTGATATAAGTTTTTCAGTTCAACAATTAAGTCAATTTGTTGCTACACCTCGAGAACCTCATATGCAAGCTGCATTAAGAGTTGTAAGATATCTGAAAAATGCTCCAGGACTTGGTCTTTTTTATCCTTCAGAAAATTCACTACAAATTCAAGCCTTCTCAGATTCTGATTGGGCAACATGTCCTACTACTCGAAAATCAATCACTGGATTCTGTGTCTTTCTTGGAAAATCTCTGGTTTCTTGGAAATCAAAGAAACAATCCACAGTCTCAAGATCTTCCTCTGAGGCAGAATATAGAGCACTTGCCTCTTTAACTTGTGAACTCCAATGGATCAAATACTTATCAGATAGTTTATCTGCTAAACTTTCTACCCCCTTTTCTGTATTTTCGGATAGCCAATCAGCTATTCAAATAGCTAAAAATCCCACCTTTCATGAGAGAACAAAACACATCGAAATTGATTGCCACATCACTCGGATCAAACTTCAAGAAGGACTACTACATCTACTTCATGTTTCTTCAGCGAATCAACTTGCTGATGTGCTTACAAAGTCTTTACATCCAAAGTCTTTTGATACAGCTATATCCAATCTGGGTCTTCTCAATATTCATGACCCATCTTGAGAAGGGGTATTAGATAATAAAAACTATTTTTAGTTAGTTTTTAAACAATTTGGAGTTTGTTATACAGCTGGAGTGTTTGTTATACTTCGGTTATCTCTTTTCCTCCTTTGTATATATCAGTATAAATACTGATATTATTGTAATGAGAATTCTATGAGATGAATGGATCAATTTTCTTCTTTCTTCTTTCTTGCATTCTGTGAACGCTAACATATGGAAAAGCCGAGCAAGATTCTTCGATCTGGAAGGATAGGTTTCGAGGCAGCTCAGCGGATGAAAATGTCGACGTCGGATCTAGAGCAGCGGAATTGATACTACAGATGTATCAAACACTCCAGAGTCAAGGGCAAACTCCAGTATGAAAGAAAAATTACTCATGAGATAAAGAAGCAATAGTACGTAGTAATAGTTTTCTTAGTGTCCTCCTTGGGTCCACTGCCCTATGAGTTAAATACAACTACCTTCCGTTACAATTTGGTAATATCGTACCGCTAATATACTACTTAATCCAAGACATAATCATTTAAATGATTGGGGAGTTTCTTCTGGCGGTTGGATTGTTTGATGTGACATGGAGGTGTGTGAGGGAAAACGTTGACATCATGGGCATGGGCAGGTCTGGTAACTGCCGTATCACTCTCCTCCGCTTCGGAAAACACCTTGTCCTCAAGGTGCAGGTCAGGCGGCGTGCATCAATCCATGAAGTGTCACCTTGAGAACTGTCGGGCCAATGAACTAGGACTTGTGGTTCGAGATGCCCATTGCGTAGAAGTTGTCGGGACCCACAAACTGTGAGGGGAGGGTTGACAGGACTTTCCAGTAGGTTTGCAGGCATTGTAGGGGAAGCTTGCAGCTCGGTGCCTTGGAAAGAGCGGAGTAATGACACATGGAAAACCGGATGAATGCGTGATCGTGGAGGCAACTCCAACTTGTATGAAACAGGACCAACACGTTCCAAAACCTTGAAAGGACCGTAATAGTGTTTAGATAATTTATGGGAATGTCGATGACCCACAGATTTTGACGAAATGGTTGGAGTTTGAGAAGAACAAGATCGCCCTCTTGAAACTCAGCCTCACAATGATGTTTGTTAGCCTTTTGCACCATCCGATGTTGGGCCTGTCGTAAGGATTCCTTCAAAAAGTGAAGGGTTTCATCTCTGGCCTTTAGCAACGTATTAAGGGCCTCAATATCCGTAGAGTTGGGGGTGTAATGTGGCAGTATAGGAGGGGTACGTCTGTACAATGCTTGAAATGGTGTCATCTTAATGCTCTCGTTGTAACTGGTGTTGTAGCAAAATTCGGCTCAACTCAAAAAAGCAACCCATGCAGACGGTTTCTCCATAACAAAGGCACGAAGATATTGCTCCAAACCTTGATTTACCACTTCTGACTAGCCGTCAGTTTGGGGATGATATGTGGTACTGTGTTTCAGTTTCGACCCACTAAGTTCGAACAGTTTACCCCAAAAGTGGCTGAGGAATAGAGGATCCCGATCTGAGATGAGTACACTCAGAAATCCATGCAACTTGACAACCATATCAACGAATAGGTGAGCTTCACGAATGGCGTTAAATTTGGCAGGAAGAGCTCCAAAATGAGAAAATTTGGTGGGGAGCCCTACAATAAAATACATTGTGATCTCGTTCCAGACTTGGTCTGGAATCGAAAGAGGTTGTAGCAGTCCAGCAGGGGGCTTTGTAAGGTATTTGGTTTGCTGACACATCAAGCATGACGCTACGTAATCTACCACTGTTTGGCGCATGTTTGGCCAGTAGAAGGAGGCATAAAACTTGACCATCGTGCGTTTAATGCCACAGTGTCCATACATCGGAGAGGAGTGAAACTCTCGAAGCATATTCTTAATCAACGACGAGTGAGGGCTCAAGTAATATCTCAACTTGTAAAGGAGGATCCCGTTGTTGCATGAGTAATCTGATGAGAGCTATCCAGCATTCAATTGTTCATGCAGACGCGTGAGATCTGGTAGCTGTGAGTTCTCTGTACGAAGCACTGTAAGAAATTCTGGGACTGTGCAGCTAGCTATCATAAGGTATTCCGCTTGTTCATGGACACGAGAAAGGCCATCAGCAGCAGCGTTTTTTACCCCAGGTTTGTATTCAATCTGAAAATCAAAACCTAAGAGTTTACCGACATACTTATATTGCTCAGGAGCTAGTACTCTCTGATGGAACAGTTCCTTAAGGCTCTTATGATCTGTTCAGATGATGAAGGAATTGCCCAAGAGATATTGTCGCCACTTACGTACTGCTTCAGTGATGGTGTTGAGCTCTTTAATATAAGTGGAAGCAAGCTGCAGTTTGGGCCCGATTTTCTTGTTGAAATATGATATAGGTTGCTCTTGATGCATCAGAATTGCCCCAACTCCCACATTAGACGCATCAGTTTCCATAAAAAACTCTGTGGACTTTGGCAGCCTCAAGACAGGGGGTAGAAGTAAGCATCTCTTTGAGATTCTGAAAGGCTTTAGTGGCCATCTCCGTCCACAAAAATTGTTCTCTTCGCATCAAATCTGTAAGGGGAGCCGTTATTGTTGTGTATCCTTTGATAAAATGCCTATAATATCCTGCCAATCCTAGAAACCCCTGAAGTTGTCTAACTGACTTCGGAATTGGACACGAAACCACTGCTGCCACCTTGTTGGGATCCACACGCACACCATCCTTTGCGATGATATGCCCCAAATATTCAGTACATTCCTAACAAAACACACATTTTGTCAATTTTAAGTAAAACTTATGTTGTAGCAGACATGATAGTACTTGACGTAAGTGTCCCAAATGTTCCTCCATACTCTTATTGTATAATAATATGTCATCAAAGAAAATTGTGACAAACTTGCGTAAGAAAGGGGCAAATATTGAGTTCTTCGCTTCTTGAAATGTAGAGGGAGCGTTTGTCAACCCGAATGTCATTACTAAGAACTCGAAATGGCCATCATGAGTGTGGAATGTCATCTTACTGATATCACGGTTGTGGATCCATATTTGGTGTTACCCTGTCCTTAAATCCAATTTGGTGAAGATGGAGGTCCCTCCTAATTCATCGAACAGTTCATCGACAGTGGGTATTGGGAAGTTATCTCAAATGGTGACTACATTCAGAGCCCGATAATCCACACAAAATCGATAAGTACCATCTTTATTGCAAACTAGTAACACCGGGGAGGAGAACGGATTTTTGCTAGGTCGTATGATACCTTGCTCCAGCGTCTCTTTAACCAACTTTTCCATCTCACTTTTCTGAAAATGTGGGTAGCGGTAAGGGCGTACGTTGATAGGTTTGGTGTTGGGTAGTAGGTGTATTATATGGTCAAACGGGCGCTTTGGGGGTATTGAAGTTGGGGGTCAAATAATTGGGAAAACTTTAGGAGTAACTGCTGGAAAGGTTATGTGAGACTTGAGGGAAGGTGAAACTGGTTTGAGTATTGACGGTTGATGGTTATCGGGAGAGCTTCTGGGCATAATTGGTAAATAACATAAACACAATCAACTTCATTGGCCTCCACCGCTGTTTCCAACCTAACAAAAGATATCGGCTGAATGTTTGCTGCAGTTTCACCCCGTAATGTCTCCATTTTCCCATCATGCTTGAACTTCATGGTTAAGTTCGCATAATCACGTGCCACAGTCCCAAGACTCTGTAACCAGTGAATGTCCAATACAAAGTCAGGTCCAACAATGGGTAGGACATGAAGATCCATGTGGAAAGTAGTGCCCTGCAAGTGTACCTTGACATTTGGACAACAATATTGGCACAGAAGCCGGAAGCGTGTCATCGTTGTTGATATACACTTTGAATGGTTTAATAGAATGTGTAGGTAGTTTAAGGGATTCAGTTGTAGTCGGCTTGATGAAGTTATGGGTGATCCCGCTATGATAGATCATGTCTAAGAACCTTTGCCCATTAATCTCCCCCCAAATGCATAGGGAGCGGGGATTGGCATGTCCAGAGAGGCTATTCAAGGTTGAAATGTCTCCAGAGATTTCTTCTTCACTTTCAGTTTCATGCGGGCCTGGCTCAGACCCTTGATGTTCCTCGTTTTCCGGCCCAGGTGCAGCAATTAGCAAATGGAACTTACTCTGACACTTATGTCCCGGGGAATATTTCTGGTCACAGTAAAAACATAAGCCCTTTTCTCGTCGTGCTTTCACGTCTGCCGCACTCATCTCCGGATGGATGTGGTGTTGCTGGTGGTTTGAGGGGAAGAAGTTGGTGTGGGTAGAATCCCTTTAGTTGACAAGTTGGATGCAAAGTTAGGTACGAGGCTTCCTGTGATGTCAGTGTTCCATGTTCTAGGCTCTGGCCCTGATGCGGCCCTGAGGTTCACTCCTTTGTGCGCAAGGCGATTCTCCGCTTGGGATTCCTCATATCGTGTTTCATACGCCTTGGCCAATTTGAAGGCTTCCAGAAGTGTTTGAGGCTTGGCTATCAACAAGTCACGTTTCAATCTTGGCTTTAACCCTCCCACAAAGAAGCAGATTAGCAAGGATGTAACACCCCGGGGCCCCACACAGACTACTCCCAAGACTACTCCCGTGCAAGCACGCTCAACTTTGGAGTTCTTAGGTGATGAGCTCCCTTAAAAGGAGATACACCTCTGTTGGTATGAGTAGTACTATTAATCCTTTTAAATTAAATCTCGAGTGTTACAATCACCCCCACTTAGGAACGCAACGTCCTCGTTGCGCCCATAAACTAATCTCAATCATATCCCAGAATCTTTTCCCCTGCTAAGTGCCCGTCCGATATCCAACGGATCAGCACACTGTCGCAGGGTTGCTCTGATACCACCTGTAACACCCCGGGGCCCCACACAGACCCGAGGTAGTTACTCTAGACCTCTAGTACTGTCCCCACAAACCACCACGAGCCTTTACCGCGCACTTTGTCCTCACTCATGCGCGCCCTGAGAAACTTCCCAGGGGGGTCACCCATCCCAAGACTACTCCCGTGCAAGCACGCTTAACTTTGGAGTTCTTGGGTGATGAGCTCCCTTAAAAGGAGATGCACCTCTGTTGGTATGAGTAGTACTATTAATCCTTTTAAATTAAATCTCAAGTGTTACAAAGGACTCCTGAATTCCAGTGATCTTGTTCACAAGCCGCTCGAATTCGGCTTGAAATTCAGCGACTATCCCTCTTTGTGTCACTTTGGCTAACTCAGCCCGGTGATCTTCGAACTGTTGGTTACCAAATCGTTGTTGAAGTTTTTCTAGGAAATCATGCCACCCATATATGAGATTGTTTCGTTTTGTCCAACGATACCACTCGGCGGCGTCTTTCTCCAGACAAAATCCAACTATCTGTAAGCGTTGATCCTCGGGAGTCTTATGAAAATCAAAATACTCCTGAATGCTAAAGATCCATTGGTGTGGTTCAGTGCCGTCAAACATGGGTATGTCGAGTCTCATGGTAGCCGAACGAGGCAGTGTATGTGGGGCTGGAGGCAGCTCCGTTCGTCCCCAACAAAGTTGTGGATTTGTGTCTTCCAATATAAAGCTATCAGGAGGTCTACCCAGACTGGTAGACAGTAGATCCTTTTCGTGGCCACTCTGAAACCGTGCCTCCATTGTTGTTGTTAGGGCAGTGATCTGCTCTCTTAATTGAGATTGAATTCTGGACTCTTGGGAAGCTATTTGCTCACATATTTGGGGTTGGAATCTGTCCAGCATATGCTGCAGAGAGGTTAGGTCGAAGGAATTGCTAGATGTTCCCGTCATTCTGTAGTTAGTGATACTACAGATGTATCAAACACTCCTTGTTAGAGTCAAGGGTAAACTCC